CTTGCATAATGTATGTTTAATAATAATGATCGCCTAGGATATAATTGTCACGTTTAAAGTTTTTAGTGGGTCAAGTGATAGTAGTATTTGTTGAGATAGGTTTGATTTTTTCATTTTTTTCCAGATGACCTTGTTTCTAAAGTAACAAGATAAGATATAGATAAGATTTTATTTCATCTGTCATTGTTTTGATTATAGCTTTGATTATTGTGTTGTTTTTGATAATATAAACACTTAACCGTATAACATAACACGATTATATTGATGTATTACTGCGAGAACTTGGTATGTTCGTCAATCGTTTCAATGTGTAGCCTTTATATGATATAAATCGATACTATCCGGAATCATTTAACTGTAAACAAGTCATATTATAGTTGTAAAGATAGGTATCCAGGCAACGAAACATATCCCTAGAACATCTAATAGGTCCATCCGGTCCACACAGGTTGTCACGTGTTCATCTCACGAACATTAACAATGTGTTTAAATTTCAAATCAATTGGGCGATGACTTTAGCCTCTATAGCACCCAAAAGACATTTCGAATAGATTAAGAGTTATAACTCCGAAATCGTTGAAAGTCTATACGCTTCTTTGTATACAGTGTGTACAAATTTGAAGTCAATCGGATTATAACCGTGGCATCAGCGTCCACAAGTTTTTGGGGTTTTCTTTTTCAAATTGACCAAGAACCATAAACCGAGAGTGTCATAACCGTGAACATTGTGTACCAAGTCAATCGATTGATAATTTTAGTCTTTTATAGTCTTTTATGGGTTACATAAAATGGGTTACATAAAATCTGTTAGTTCATCCAAATCACTAAAATGATAAGCTGTAACAATTTTCCATTACATTTCTTTAAAGAGCTTTGTTGTATATTTCTTTAAAAAGATTTTTCCCAGCATGATCCCCTACGTCAGCTGTGTCATATTATTTATTAAGAAAGCTCAGTCATACTGTGATAAAGTATTTTTGGTTCGTAGTACAAACTATTGAACAGCATTTCCCTTTTCCAATAAGATTGTTCTCTTTATATAAACTATTCAAAAAAAGTAGGGGATATTTGATTTTTAAGTGTTATTAAAGTCACCTAATGAAACTGACGAAGAAACAAATGACAAAATGAAATGAAGTTCACATTCATCGATTTATTCCAAATGATCGTTAGACTAAGTAAGGCACAGACTGACCATTATCAGGGTAAAATGATACCCGGGGTCAAACAGCAAAGTTACCACAGCATCACAACCAAGTCAGTAACGGGTAAATCCTCCTCTGTTTGCCAAACAAGCATTGATCCGACGTGGCATACTCCTAATGAGACGTCTAAGGTCATTTTGGTCCAGATTGTCCCATTCCTGTTGCAACGTAGCAGCAAGTTCTTGGACATTGGCAGGACGTTGTTGACGTTGACGTAACCTCTGTCCAAGCATTTCCCAGACATGCTCGATGGGGGAGAGGTCGGGACTCAGTGCTGGCCAAGGTAATGTGGTGATGTTCTGTTGTTGGAGGTAACCTGTAACGATCCTGGCCCTGTGACATCTTGCGTTGTCATCCTGGAAGATGAAACGGCGGCCATGACGTCGTGCGAACGGCACAACATGGACTGCCAAGATGTTGTCCCGGTAGTACTGGCCTGTAACACGCCCTGCAACAACATGTAAAGCCGTTCTTCTAGCAACAGTGATGCCTCCCCACACCATAACAGAACCACCCCCAAATCTATCATGTCTGATGACGTTAACGTCTTGGAAGCGCTCGTTTCGACGACGCCACACCCTCCTACGTCTGTCCAAAAAATCAACAGTGAATCTTGACTCATCTGAAAACATCACATTGCTCCAGCGTCGATTATCCCAGTGTTGACGATCCCTACACCAACGACGTCTTGCCTGAATGTGATGATCTCTCAAACAAGGGATCACGCGAGGACGTCGGGCGCGAAGGTGACCCCTATGCAGTCGATTCCGAATCGTCTGGCCACTCACTCTCACACCAGTGTCTGTTTGAAGACGAGCGCTGATCTGATTTGCTGTGATGACACGATTTCTCAAGGCCAAGGTACGGATAAATCGATCCTGGGCTTGAGTTGTCGCCCTTGGTCGACCTGAGCGTGGTCTGTCCTGTACAGATTGTGTATCACGGTATCTGGACCATAGCCTGCTTATGACAGACTGAGAAACATTCATCGTCCGCGCCACAACCGCCTGTGTTGTGCCGATCTGTAGCATGCCAAGGGCACGTAACCTTTCATTTTGGGTAAGCCGACGCATATCAAAATTTGTTTTCTGGTCACTAAAACAATTAAACTGATGTTTCCACCCTGGAATTCAATGCCACAATGACTGTAACATTCAAAGTCAGAGTCGTGCAAATCTTGGGTTGGACCCCCATGATGATCCCAAGCATCACCTGCATTCCATGCGGTAGCTATTGGTGCGTTTGGGCGTCACATGTAACTGGAAATGTTTCTTCTGTTAGGTTCTATAGTGACTTTTTTCGTAGTCATTTGCATATTTTAGTATTATGCCCCCAAAATCAAATATCCCCTACTTTTTTTGAATAGTATATATATAATTCTGTACAATATAGACTTAAATAATTTCCCTAACAAGTCAAACAAATCATTCTGTTTTTAAAATAATATCTAGCCGTTCTAAAATCAACTACAAGGAAATTTGAATCCAGTGGTGTTTCTGTGGTAAGTAGTGCTTGTGACTGTCTTTACATTAAATCAGCTCAAAAATATCAGTCAATTTCGTTAACCATTTAACTACAAATTATGGCACCACATGAATATTACAATTGCACTTCTCTGCAAGAGAATTTACCTATTAATGATAGATTGAAACAGACACTTAACTAACAGCTGTTTAATTATATTAATTTTTTTGGGGGGAGCATTTATTATTTTTTTTTTTTTTTTGTGTTTTTGTATTAATGACACTTACAAAAAAAATTAGAAAAAGTCATATCATTATATTTAGAAATATGCAAGATACTATCGATAATCATGTCGTCAATCGGATAATCATTGTCTGGAACTGACATTACACTAATCTAACAGATTAGAAAATCTAAATCAATGTGGTATTATGCGTAACATTAAGAGATAACTGATAGGGTATAAAACAAACTTTTGCATTATAACAATGTGATGAGATTTAATGAATAATAACGTAGGTTTTTTGTTCATTTCTTGCTTTTGTATATCACACGGGATTCGTCAAGTAGTGAGAGAGAGAGAAATGGGGTTTAACGTCCACTCGACACAAACTAGATCATTTCGGGACTAACATATGGTTTAATTTTTTATTTCAATAATTCGCTTGCGCGTAGAGGTCTTTAGCAGTGGGGGGAAACCGGAGGACCCAGAGAAAACCCACGAGATTGGACAGGCGACCCTACTCCTTGTCACGTAATACCGGGGATTCGAAACTACGCCAGTTGACTCAATGACAGGCCTTATGATACAGCGCACTGCTAACCATTCGGCCATCCAACCCCCCTCGTTAAGTAGTTATCCATGTCGTCGAATCAACTGAAATTTAAAACATTTAGAAAATAAAATAAAGGCCGTCATATCTTTCCAATCCTTTAGCCTGGGACGGTAGTGGAGTATCACATATAGGTCATTTTGGGCCTAATATATATATGTAGTAAATCTATACTTCAATAATCTGCATGCTCTTTAGCGCTGGTTGAAAGCCGGACTTAATGAAAATGCACGACTTGCGATCCTCACAATGCCCTTGACCAGTCGATGAAGCTCAATATGGTCTAACGTCTGCGATATAAATCATGGGTAGAGGCCAGAGTTTATATATGTGGCAAGGAGTAGGGTTGCCTGCATAACCTCGTGGAGTTTTCTCCGGATATTACAATTTTCTCCTTCGTCCGTGTCGAGTGAAGGTTAAACCATATTTATCGCTTTATCTGTGATCATTCAGTACCGAAAATCACGGTGAATAAGTGAGTAAGGAATTTTCTCACTAACCTCCCGGATTCAATCCCAGTGGCGGTCGAGAAATTTCCCTCTTATCATTGATCGTCTTCGTTAGCCCAGTCGAAGCAGAAAAGTATTATGTTAAACCCCATTCCATTTTATTTCCTTGTCAGTTGTGCAGGAATGACCCCTATAGTTATTCGGTTTGAAAGAAAAATCGGGTTCTCGTGTACATGTATAAGGCCCATGGCAGTTGGATTTCGATGAAGAGAAGATGAAAACGCCTCTGTTTTGGAAAATTTTCTCTCTTAGCACACTGCATGGCCTATGTCTATCTTCGTTTTCTGATGCAGGAAAGTATAAAACGTTTAAAAACGCCATTTCATTTAATTTCCATTCAATACACCATTTCATTCAAATTTTTATGAGTTATTTTATTTTTGATGAGTTCTGCTGTACGTAGACGTGTATCTATAGATTTCAAATCCTGCTATTTGAGTTATAAAATTTGTAATTGCTAGGGTTTGTTTTCGCTAGCGACAATAATTTTAGAATAATGATACAGTTGGATCGCGTCTGAAAGTAATGTATTATCTGTACCGATAAAAATGAAATAGAAGAGTTCTATCATGATTATCAAATCCAGGTGTTTATACCTCAAGGCACTGTTTGAAAGAAAATTTACTCCACCTTATACACATCCAGAATAACCAAATGTACCCCTTGGGTAGCCGTGTAAATTTAGCCCCGGGTGGGAAGACTTGACCTAATCACATCGAAATGTCTTGTAGCATGAGTTTAAAAAGCACATGGCTAACGAAATGTATGGGGATATCCATAAGAGTAAAGCTGGAGAAAGCCTTTATCAACGAAAGTGTTTTTTACGCTTAATATACTTTAAACACACAAATGAGTATGACGACATAAGTTTTTCCTAAGTAATGTTGATGTATAAGCTATAACAAGTTTAAATATTGATCATAATAGTGACATTTATAATAGTAGTCTGATATGACAATTCAAAAGAATTAGACAATAAATATACATACCTTTTATCAAAATTAAATTGAAGAAAATGTATATCCAAATTTTTATCTCCATCTTTAATTATAACAGTAACGACTATGTGAATTTATAAACAACGTTTCGGTATAGACATGATTTATCGATTTGATTTTTTGTCACCTGTAAAACTACAATGGTAAGCGTATCTCGTGATGTCCAATTTACTTCACTGGTCAAATTAACATAAGCAAATAAAGCTATGCGGAATGGTGATTACCACAGTTTTATCAAGCGACAAGTGAATCTAAGCGAAACATGTGGTGTGCTTTATAGGCTTGAGCCACGCCAACTTTTTATCAATATCGAACTGCGTGGCCTATAATGTTGATAGTATTTCATTGTGTTGAAATCGTAATCATATGATAGAAATGGTAGTTGACTATGACATATCAATGTAAAACGTAATCTTCCTTGCATGAAACTGACTGCCCACGGCTGATATTGACAAACGTTAGCATCTGATTAGCCGTTATGTGAATCTGTCAACTTACATTGCTTTCAATTTCACCAATCGGAATTCACTTCTGAAGCTTTTATTTCCGTCTTAATTTTAAGGGAGCAGGCGGTCTAAATCTCTGACTTCTTTATTTAGCAAGTTGTAACTGATCAACACAAACTAGGCCGTTTTGGGACATACAATTTATTTCTATCATTTGATTGGGCTATTGAGACAATTTGAATTATCCGTGCTTCTTTATATATTTTATTTATTACCGGTGCTTGTATCACAGTTACTTTCAACCCACAATTGATATGTTTTAATTTCTCATCGTCTAAACCCAATGATAACCCAAATTTAATACGCACGAAACTTCTAGTATGGGGCGCGTACTCATATTTGTTCAAATGAAGTTTCTCATGGGGGCAATACCCGGGGCATCTTGAAATGTCAAATGTAGATATGTTCGACTTTTTAATTGACCGACGAATCATAATTCATATGGCTTGGGGGAGGGGGCTGTCAGTGTGTGTGTGGGGGGGGGGGGGGGGGGGCAAGGTTCCGACCGCCCTGACTTAAATTACTCAAACGTGATCTGGTTCCATGTGGGGGCACATTTAGAATTTTCTCCTCGAACACATTTAACAGGCACGTTGCTTGAGTAGTGCTTGTTCAGATATAGTCAAATATTGGGGAGCCTCTATAAATGGGTCAGGGGCACCGAAAAGGGCCACTTTTCGTAATAGATGTCAACAAAATACGATGATAATTTCAATGAAATTGCTCGGTTCCAAATGCTAGGGTTTATATACTGAGCGCCATGGAAAACGTATCACTTAGTTTTTCGTATAACTAATGATCCTGTAAACATATCTTATTTATTTTGCTTCTTATTGTGAACAATATTCAAATGGGAACACATCAATAACAACACATTTGTACACTTATGGATGTTTAATCTGTAATAAACGGTACAAAGTCAGAGGGGTCAAAACCAAAAGTACGACACAGATGTCAGTAGCGCGTGTGTCCTCCGCGGGCTCTTACGCACGCTGTGCAGCGACGTCGCATGGAATTTACCAATGTTTGAAAGAAGGCCTGGGGCAAATTGTTCCATTCTTGGACAAGAGCAGCTTCTAAAGCAGCAATGGTGTGCATCTGTGGTCTCCGATACAGACGGCGTCCAATCTCATCCCAGACATGTTCTATCGGTGCCATGTCCGGAGACATGGCTGGCCAGTCTAAGACATTGGTGTTGTTAGCAGCCAGGTAGTCCATACTAAAACGGGCGGTATGCGGACGTGCATTACCCTGTTGGAAGAGCTGAAGTTGTGGGTGCGCTCGAAACATCGGAACAACAATTGGTTGCAAGACATCATCACGGTAGGTTACAGCATTAGCGCGACCCCTGCAAATGTGTAGGGCGGTCCGGTGATGAAATATGAAGCCTCCCCACACCATTACACTTCCCCCACCCCATCGATTCTTTTCGAAGACGCAGCAGTCTGCAAGACGTTCCCCAAGACGTCTCCACATACGTTGACGACCATCAGCGTGATAAAGATGAAAGCGACTCTCATCACTAAAGAGCACACTTTGCCAGTCTACTCTTCTCCATGTCTGGTGTCCTTGAGCCCATATCAAACGCCGCTGACGGTGATGATCCCTGAGGATAGCTCCAACATAAGGTCGTCGTGCACGGAGTCCTACCTCTCTTAGACGACGTCTTACGGTGTTGGCACTTACTGGTCCTTGTCTTCCGACGACTGCTGCACCTGTTCGAGTCGCTGGGCGGAATCTGTTATGCAGATGAGTGACCCGGATGTAGCGGTCTTGAGCCTGGGTTGTAACGCGTTGTGGACCAGGACGTTGACGGTCACGTGTTGATCCAGTAACTCGAACACGTTCCACCAACCTTACAATAGTGGACTGATGACAATTGAAGTGTCTGGCAATAGCACGTGTAGACATGCCAGCCCTGGACATTCCCATGGCTTCATTCCGTTGATTTTCAGTAAGTCTCGGCATCTCTAGCTCGATTCCTTCACACGTCCAACAACAAATTACGACAGATTGACGTTTCACAATTCATGTACTGCACATTAAGTTGAAAACATGCTTTTAAAGGGCTCACACACAATGCTGTACGTGAATATTGGGGTTTTCATGTGCATCTCGTGCATTTTTTTTTTTTTTTTTGCACACGGGTCGATATTTTTTGCGTTTGGGAGCATTGTGTGAAACAATAGTTCATAGTATTGCATAATATTATACATACAAAACCACCTAGTAATAAAATATTTGGGGCAAAAAAGTGATGCGTTTTACACATAGGTTAGCAAGATACCTGTCACATTTTAGTAGGCATGTTGTTTGTGTGAAACATAATCAAACAGCGGTACCTAAAAAGCGGAAAAAGTTAAAAATTCTAAATCGTTTCGCGGATTTCAACAAATAAGTTGATTAAAGGGCTAATAGCGACAATTTTTTGGGCAAATAAACTGCTATGGGCCGGGCAACTAACTCATTATTTGTGATACGTTTTTAAATAACTTAAAACTGACAGTCTTCATCTGGAAATGGAGACCGGTGTCCGGATAAAACCAGACTTTTTCTTTATAATAATAACGTGTAGGTGAAATTTACCTTTCGTTATCAAGTACAGTACGTGGGTCATTCAGTGTATAGAGCTTCCTAGGAACGGGAATCGATTATCAGGTCACCCAACGAAAAAAATGACCCGAAATCTTGAAAGGGTTACGTGTCCGGATAAGCAGTTTTGACGTTCACATCCAAACAACTCAATATTTTGAGCTGAAATTTTGAGACAAGGTAAATACACAATTCCTCTATATTTTGGCGCTTAAATTTCATACGTATTCGGAATTTTATTTTTGAGACTCTTTAAAATGTAAATAATATATTCGTAGATGAGAAAGAATAACTGAGCCTACTTCGGCTCTTGTTTTGTTTTCGCTATAACAGGTTTTTGACCTCTCTTAAAGTAGTCCACAATGTAGACGCAAGATTACATCATGTCACCTACGCTATTTACCATGGTGTCGTGCTGAGATTACTATTCCCGTGTTCGCTGACCGAGAAATTTCCCGGGGATTTTCCTTGTAGTCGTTCGAATGGCACAGCCTGATTACCCCGCATGGGTTCATCGCATTTTGTATTTGGACTACAGGTTATTTCCTCTCCGGCTTGTTTAAATCCCAGTTCATTAACAATATCGGTGATTTTGTGGCGAAAGGATCAAGGGGTAACGAGACGCATATAAAAGAAATTGGCTGGGATAAATAACATTTCATAATTGTTGATTTTTTTAGATAATTGTGACAGCTTGGGCACTTCCTGATATAAGGATCAGACTTATTTATAGGCAAATATATCGCATAGAATTAATGTTGAAAATTGAAGTCGATAACCCAGTCAATGAAAAGTAGGACTCAGACTAACAATTACTTGCCCATTGACTTCAATGTTAAATGACTGTAACATCACCGGCTGCAGCTTTTTGCTCAACATTCCGTTGGTTCCAATCTTTATAGGCACAATGGGGGCCACAATTGGCAATCTCCTCATAATTTTGTAGGGGGTTGACCGTTTAGATTTTTTTTACGGGTATTTGAAGTTGACTGGGGTGAAAATCTCACTTCCGACACAATGATTGCTCTGCAGAAAGTCACTTTACACCCCCTATCCCTCCGCTCTAATATCATCAGTATTACCCAAAACTGCTATGAAATTGCAAATTAGATCCCTTTTCTCCAATTCTAGACCAAAAAGTCAACCCAAAAATGCAGGAAGAGGGGAGACAAAAATTAAGGAAAAAATTGTCTAGTCTGAGTCCAGAAAAGCCGTAGTCAGACTTCAAAATAATCCTACATCGGTTATTTCCCTTTCAGAAAATATCCACTAATGGAAAGTTTACCGTTATCAATGCATTGCATCAGGAGCAAAAATGAATGATGAAAAGTCCAAAATAATGCCTGTTGGTAAATCAGTCAATATTGTATAAAGCTTTAATATAAGAGTTAATATTGTTACTAGGTGCATGTTAATTCTAGGTGTAGATCTTGTACCGAATAAGCAGCACTGTAGAAATATGAACTGAGGACTGAGCTCTCCTAATCTTAACCTTAAGCGAGAGAGAGAGAGAGAGAGTGTGTGTGAGAGAGAGAGAGAGATAGATGGGGTTTAAATCGATACAAACCAGGTCATTTAGCAGTTGAGGGAAACCGGAGGACCAGGAGAAAACCCACGAGGTTGGACAGGCGACCCTACTCCTTGTCACGTACAACCTAAACCACGCCAGATGACTCAAAGACAGACCTTATGATGAACTGTATGTTCATATATGGAAATATACAGTGATGTTTATTTTTAACAAGTACAGTGATTTAAATCTTGAAAAAGATATTTCGAATGTATTATATACAAAAATCTTATTTAAGCATTTACCAGATTTGTATAAAAACATATTAGAATATTGCGATGATTTAAATAAAGGCACAAGGCCCTTTACAAATTCAATAGTAGATATAGCTATAATATTATAACCATTGTTTAAAAATAAATATATTAAGTATAATAATAAACCACTAAACATTGATACGTTAAGTATTTTGGGTATTAGACAAATAGCTGATATTTTAGAAAATACTAAGCCTGGGTTTGTATCTACTAAATATATTACCAATTTAATTTAAGCTTGCAACTATAGAACAATAGTGGATAAGAAACCTTAGTGAATTTTTATGAGTTTTATTATTTTTCATTTTTCTAATATTATTATCAATTTATCAGTTATATCCACTCTATTTCTTAGAATTATTACACATATGGGTTACTCTAGTCTAATTGTACATTTA